ATATATATATATAAGTTACCAAAAATATTTGTCATTCAATTTTAAACATTTTAAAAAATAATTAGTGTAAATTTGTAGTGCATTTAAATATTTTAAAGAATAAATTTATTTTGGTATTTTTTTATTTTCTTCTATCTATTAATTTCTATAATAGGAATTCGATTTGAGTAAAAAGGAATTTATTGGAAAAATATTGAGAGCAGTAGCCCATAATCTAGGTGCAAGTTTGTATTATTACTCCTCTAAAGATAAATTTCTTATACGACGACTTAAAGATCTGTTATCTCATTATGGATTTGGCTCTCCATTTTCGTAAGTTCTTTAATAAGACTTTATATATAAAATATCCTTGATTTATTAATAAATTGTGATGTCTATTGAGCAATCATTTACGTCCTATAAAGTATATTTATGATAAATCGTTAACTCAAATCTCAATATATTTTTATATCATATGTTGTAAAACAAAGGGAAGAAAAGTGTACGGATTATGAAAAACCATTAATGATGCCGGCTGGCATGGATTCCTTCGGGCGAATCGATTTGCAATTCCCCCAAACGAGACCGTCGGCAATTTTAGACACCATCAAACAAATCTACGTCTCGCGAATACCACAAGTGTCGAGGAGCGACGAAAGTACTTTGGAGGATCCTAGTAACGATCCTAATTTTAACGAGCCTATTATCGACAGATTGAGAATGCAGCGAGAAGAGGTATTTTTACTCATTTTTTTATTTAATAATTAGATTAATTAACATTAAAATAGATGCCTATTTAGAAGATTAATTAATTTTAGATATTTAGCAGGTGAAAAATAAATAAATTATTTTTATTCAGGAGATCGCAATACTGCTGAACGACATGATGGAAGGCCGCATGCCGAAAATTCCCGTGCCCGATCCAATTTAGAAAACATGCATTTTCATTATGCATCCATTACAATTTTAAAACAGAAATAAAAAAGTCCTCCAACAATTTATGTGTCGTATTCTATTGTAAGTCATAATGTACAGAATTATTAAAGAATTATTTTGTGAGAAATTATTAAATATGTATATACTCTTCTTCCAAGAATTATAATGTAAAAACTGTATGATACATAATGATACATACATAAATACATAATTTTTTTTTAACAGTTGAAACAAGGATAAAAGAAGTAAATAATCATTATTTAGATTCTTGGAAGCAAGAATCTAAATAAAGTGATAGGGAAAGAACTTGTAATAATATCTTATTCTCTTGAAAGGAAGAAAAGTAAAGAAATAATAAGTATATTAATAAAGATAAGACAAAAATGTTTTATCAATAATGTTACATTTTTTAATTATCTAATTATAAGAGACATTTAATAAGTATTTATAACAGAAGAGATAGAATTGTCTTCTTACAACATTATATTCTATTTGTTGTAATTTTTACATTCCTGAAATCTTTTTCTACAGAATTAAAAATGTAGAAAACAAATTGCAAAAATTCTTGCCTAAAGCTAATTTAATATCGACCCCGAGGAAAAAAATTAACACGCTTCAGAAATTTTCTCTCCTTTCTCTCTTTCTCCTTAGAAATAAAATGCATTTCAATTGTTCCATAACATATTTAACAAAAATTTTGCAAAAACCCAGGGTTTCTAAGAAATCTACCTCGCTCCTGTTTCGCACGCGTTCTCCTTTCTTCGTAACGCGAGCGAAATTCCATCTCCTTTTTCCCTCCCACACGGAAGAGCCAAGGGTGATGGAGGGAACGAAAGCGTCCCCCTCCCCGC